CCAACCAACCAACCAACCAACCAACCAACCAACCAACCAACCAACCATAATAGTGAATATCCTGAAATAGCAATCAAGCTCTTGGGCTTAAGAAACTCAAATACTAGAGCTGATTATGATTTGATTTTTATAATGGCTGTAGCACAGTTTTTAGGTTGGATCAGAGAAATGGGCAGGAAAGGATCTTTCTGAATAGCATTAGGGTAATAATGGGAGGTTTAGCTTGGAAACTCCTTTAAGGAAAAGCAATCTCGTCTGATAGTCTCTTGCCAGTGAAAAGTGATGCACCCCAGCTGGTCTCTACCTGCATCTGAGAGATACACTGGTTTATTCTGAAGGTTGCAGTGACTAGCTAGTATGTTATCTCAGAAGGAGAAAACAATATACACTACTTATTTATTCAGAGGTCCTAGTCTCTGATCTCTTAATGACACGCAAATTTAAAGAACACCAATAAATGCATACACTGTACACAAGAACAAAAGGAAACCAACAAAAACCAATAACTTGAAAGGTTCAACTATCCCCGAAACAATCTAGAATCCAGAAATCATGACACTTCTCCTTCTTCTGCAAAATGTGTGTACACACACACACACACACACACACACACACACACACTCACAGACTTACTTTTACACCCTGCTCCCCCAAATAACATTTAAGTAGGAACTATTTCTTCTGCTTGCAGCATTCCTTAATTGCCAGTATTTTATTGTATAGGGTTGCGGTCTTGTGGTTTTTCCCCTGTCCACATGTAGCATGTTTATTATGGTGTCATTTTCAGTTCATATTAGGCAGTCAGCTGTAATGTACGACATCACAGGTGTAGGTGACATCATTAGGAGACACAGTCTTATAGCAAACCCCTTGATCCTCCAATTTAATTCCAGCACTTAGAAAGCTGAATTAAGGATAGCTGTTGAGTTCTAGGCCAGGCTGGGTTCCAGACTGAAGAAAGGTTGGGCATGTGGTGCAATTTTAATCCCAATTTGGGAAGCACAGGCAGACAGATCTTGGTGAGTTTGAGGCCAGCCTGTTGTACAAAGTGAGTTCCAGTCAAGAAGGGCTACATAGACCCTGTTTGGTTAAAAAAGAAAAGGAAAAAAAAAAAAAAAAAAAAAGGAAGGAAAACAACACAAAACATCTAGAAGAGAGCTTGAAGTGAGCTACTTAGTAAGGGACCACACCTGTGCCTGTTGAGTTCCAGTCTGTGAGCTGCTGTGAGGGGTCCAGTCCTTGCTATCCCTTTCTCCAGTTACCACACCCTTTAGTAGCACATCAGAGTATACGTGTATGAGACTGGGTTTATGTGGCACCTGTGGGCTCAAGATACTTGCCTCTGATGCTCTGTCAAGGCCAGTGCCTGTTCTGTCTTTGCTAATAGCATTCAAGTTACAGGATCAGCCTGTAACTACTGAAAATAAGCAAAGAAAAACTATTAAACTAAGTCTTTACTAGAGCCCAGGCTGAGAGCATAGTTCTTAATATTGGCATCACAAATAAATAAATTTGAGGGGATGGATTATTACTTAGATCAATTTGCTCAATTAACAATGGATATATGTCAAATATCATACTGTATTGCACAAATATATTCAATTATTATCTGATAATGCCAATAACAACATAAGTAGGAAATACCTACCACCAGTTGAGTAACGATTTGAAGGTGAAAAAGCACTATGTAGAGATTCTGAGGTTTATTTTCATTAAAAAAATGCCTAATGAAAAACGCTAGGATGGTTTTGGTGTGTTAGTTAAAATAAAATGAATAGTTTCAAACATAGGGATTAAATAACTGAGGCATATACTTTGACTAAACCGTAACTAAAATATCCTGAAATATGTACAGATAAGATACTATGAAATAGCCCGATCAACAAGAGAGAAATCATGCCTGATACTGAAAACTTAATCAACCACCCAGGGCTAGTGAACTCATGGATCTTGGAGGAGCATCTACAATCACTTCACTAAACTAGCACAATCCTAACTACATTATAAATATCTTCTACCCATAGGTAAGTGTAGTCTTCACCTCCGATTTCTTCGCCATAGATGACGATTACAAAACACTACAGCCAATCAAAATGCAGAGTTATGGAGTCAGTCCCAGTAGAAACATCTACAAAACAACTACCACACTGAAGGCTCAGGGATCACTGGGAAGAGGTGGTGGAAAATCACAAGAGCCAAAGAAACAAGGAGTATGCAGTGAGACTGTTTCTCCCAGGAATATAAAAAAATAAAACCACAAATCTTCACCAACATGACTACCTAAATTTCAGCTGACCAAGGATGACAAGGAATATACTAAAGCCTAGTAGGTCTCACCCCTATGCAAAGAAGGACAAATAGCAGGAGTTGACTCTCCTTCCACATGGATTCTGAGGATCAAATTAAAGTGATCAGGCTTGGCAACAAGTGCCTTTATCTGCTGAGCCACCTTGCTGGCCCATGCTTGTATATTTCAGGTGGCAAGTATAAGAGTCTTTGCACAAGCTTACTGCTCTTACAATAAGCTTGTGCAAAGTGGAGGCTGATGGAGCTGCAAGGCTAGTTTTTGGCATGGTCAATTTAATTAAATCATTTATTTCCTTTATAACTGTTTAGTTTTAAATGCCTGGATGTAATTTTATCTGTAGAGCCTAAGGAATGCTCAAGGGAATCTGCTTTCTTGTGCTGCAGCTAGAGAACAGAGAGGAATAGGAAATAAGACCAGTCTTTCTTAAAATCTACAATAGGTTGAGACACAAAGCTACATTTGACATTATACTTTTTAAACTCCTTTAAGAGACTGTCAAAATTTCTTCCAAAAATGTTACTTGAATAACAGTCTTTTAAAATAACTACAAAAATTTCCAATTAGCTTCAAACTCTTTTAGCCCTCATTAAAGATTTTGAAAGCTTGGTCTCACCCATAACTAGTTTTATCTTTTTACAAAATGAACGACTAATCATATTTTTAAAGAGTCACGTATTTTACTACCTACTGAAAACAAGAAAGTGAATAAAACGGTCTTCCCTCCATGCTAGTGACTGAACCTAAGACTTGTGCCCTCCCACACAACTCCACTCACAGTGCAGTTTTCTTAATAGAATTCCTAGGACAGATAGAATAATCAGATGTAAAGACCAGGCACTGTGATACATCTGTAGTTGCAGCTTCTGAGCAGGCTGAGGGCAGACAGATTAAACCCAGGTACTGGAGACCAGTGTCTGTAACACTGAGACCACCAATTCAATGAGAAATATATTTAACAGGTTTTTGCTCAAAACTTCATGTGCTTTTTCAAACATGTAAAATGTAAACATTTTACATGTTTATTACATTTTACTTATCATGTGTGTTTTAATATGTCTGTGGGCACATGCATAACAGCATGCATGTGGAGGTCTGCGGACAAGTTGTAGGAATCAATTCTCTATCACAGGGATCCCAGGAATGTACCTTTATCCACTAGACCATGTCACTGCTCCCTGAAATATAGTTCTTAAAGGTAAAAAATATTCCAAGTATACTGATGCCCTCAGAAATTAATGATATCACTCCTACATTAAAGTGACGCTTTCTTGTTCTAACATGGGTAACCAAGGGTATATACTTGATTCTGTATCAAGTGTGGAGACTATGTTTAATATGAAACAGTTATTGTTTGTGGAATGAAATGATGATTTGTAAATTCTTTTCCGACAATGATCCGAGGATAGCAGTATAGTCCCTAATCAATTTTGTGACATTTAGTCTTAAACGGTATATTGTTAAAGTAGAATTAAAAGAGCCAGTGGTGAGATTTCTTTGGTGGGAATAAGTCTATTGAGCACCACAGAATTCCAATCCATTCCAGAAACAGTGGGTATGAAGGGAATGATTGAAGGGGCTATAGCTGGTAATATTTAAACTCAGGATTAGAGTAGATGATATTTAAGAGCCTTTCCTGCTCCAAAATTGTATGATTATTCTGTATATTAACAGACAAGAGGAAAAATAAATGCTGAAATGATTGATAGCAAATGGAATTGTTATTTTATACCTCTAGAGTTCTCAAATATATAATTAACAATTAATAAAATTATATAAAATACATAGAACCCAAAAGGTAATTTACCCACGTATAGACCGTGAGAAGTGTCCTCATAAAAATTGAAATTACACTCAGTGGCTGACTCTATGATCACCTCCCCCTGAGCAAGGAGCAGCCTTACTAGGCCACAGAGGAAGACAATACAGCCAGCCCTGATGAGACCTGATAGGGTAGGGTCAGATGGAAGGGAAGGAGGTCCTCCCCTAGCAGTGGACTTGATGAGGGGCATGGGAGGAAAAGAGGGAGGGAGGGTGGAAATGGGAGGGAATGAGGGAAGGGGCTATAGCTGCGATACAAAGTGAATAAATAAACTGTAATTAATATAAAAAAGGAAATTAAAAAAAATGAAATTCCGTAATTAAAAAAATTTAAAGATATTTAGCTGGCATTAAGGATCATATAATTCAAGATATGTCAATATACCTGTATTATGTAATGACTGCAGCAACGATTTAACAGTTGGTCAACATGCACTCCCCATCCTGTGAATTGCAATTTAGTTTCTATGTTTGGATTGGTATCTATTTCCCCACTCCTCACTAAGTAGTAAACACTGCTTTCCTCTGCAGTGTGTTTTCCTGGAAACCGCAGAGCTCAGCAGAATTTTTTTTACTAAAGTAGGAGTGAAGTATGAAATTTCACTACCGATTTTTAAATGTTTTTCTATCACACAAACTATTCTTAATAAGTACGATACAAAGATTTGCATTAGGTCAATATGGTGATAATCAGCAATGGTGAGGATTAGGAGTTACTCTCAAGATTATGGCAAGCATTGCATACACCTGTCATTAAACCCTCATAATACTCACGCAAGGTTGGCTTACAAATACAGGGGCTTCTGTTACTACTAAGGAGACAGGCAGTGGGCCCAGGTACAAATACAGACCTCAAAAGTAAGCAATAGAAAAGACCGCTTCCAAACTGGGGTAGAGAGGTGTAATGACATAGCTATTTATTCTTTCAAACTCAAGTAGAAAATTCTGATCCAACACTGCTGAGAATAGGGAACTTTCCTCATTTAGTTTTTATCTGCCTTAATCCTTCCTGAAAGTTAACTTTAGGGTCAGTGCCACTGAGCTGACTGAGTTACAAACATCAGGGTAGAATGACAGGTTGCCCTGGGGGAAGATCAGCAGTGATAGTGCGCTATATATATATTTTTTTTCTGTTACCTTTCATAGGATTAACTGCACAGTCACTCTGTTGTGTCTTTATTGAGTTGAGGTATGATTATAGCGGAACAAGATCCCCTTGAAAATGAAAAATCTTGCATATCTGTAAACACTGATTCAATGAGAACACCTCTCAAGGCAAATCATTTTTGTTTACTAAAGTATTTCTTATGAGACACTGAATTTAATAGCAAGTACTATTTATCATTTGTGTGGCTTTCGTATTCTCTAACATCAAAGTTCGAGAAAACCTTCCAAAACCCAAGGTGGGAACTGGAGGAGGTGGGATGACATCACCAATAAAATTACTTCCAGTCCAATAATCCCCTTTCATATTATAATGAGCAACAGTCAGCTTTGAGTTCTTTGTAAGGGCAAGACCAAGGAGCTCCTAAGGGAAAGAGATGCAGAAACAGCGGAACCTGGGGCTGTTTCTGGCCTCCAGGTGGGCACTCAGGGCCGGCCATGCCCAATACACGACTGGGCTCCGGACTGACCAGACAGCCTCACTGCACAAAAGCTCCTCCTCGCTGGTCAGCAGAGCCCAGGAGTCGCACAGTCAACGTGTGTCTCCCAGGCAGGATACTCCGAATTTGGAATCCGGAAGGAACCTCACACTTAAGGAGGCTGGACTCTGAGAGTCCTCAGTCCAGGTCCGGGAAAGGGGCCAGTTACCCTTTAAAGAGTGCAGGTTCCTCCCGGGGCTCGAAGGCGAAGCCCGGGACCTCGGCGCTGGGAACCGCTGGCCGCGTCCCGCACACTCGGGCGCGCAGTCCTTCCAGGCGCAGTGCCACGGGGACCCTCGTCCCGCACCTCCCGCCGAAAGCGGGTCGGCGGACTTGACCGCAGACGCCCGATCCTCCACGCCGGGGACCCCCGAGTCACCCCGCGCGTGCCGGACGCGGGGTCCACTCCACTCACCTCGAAGAAGTGACAGCGACACCTCGGCGGAAAACGGCTTCCAGGCGCCTCGGACTCAGCCACAAATTCAAACCCAAGCCAGCTTCCCCAGCTATCCATTTTATTGGCTGCCGCTCTGCTGACGTCATCACGTCGGACGTGGCCTCGGAGTCTCGCTTTTTGGCGCCAGAGCCTGGGCCTCGCAGGCCGCAGGGGAAGCGGCTTTTCCTGGCGTCGCCGTGGCAACGCGCGCGGTTGTTTCCGGGAGCGGTGGCGGAGGTGGGCGGGGCTGGGGCCGAGGGTCAGGTCGGGAGCAGCCACCTGGGAGGGCTGCTGTGGGCTCCGACCCGGGGCTTGGGGCTTGATGGGCTGTACTAGTGGTGGTGTGTTGAAGGGCTGGGGTAACTTTGCTCTTTTCCTTTCCTGATTCATCAGGGTTCCAAGGAATGAGATCTCATTCTGTGGAAGGTGTGGGACCTCCACCTGAATTAATTGGGAGTCCGGGTCTTCTGGCTCCAGGTCCCAAGTCTTTTGTCAGGGCTTCCTGGTCTGCTCCCCTTATTGCTCATTGAGGATATTTGGTATTTGACGGCGTTTAACATGCTACAAGTATAACATTACAAAATAAAGTCACCGATATTGGGCTGGGACATTATTGGATCAGGTGATTTTTTTGGGTTCCATATTATACTATTTCTGAATGTATACTTCAGAAAGGAAAATACATGGAAATATGGGAAATGTTTTTATTAAGATAACTCATTTTCAGTTTGGAAGGATATTTTATGCTTTATATTATTTATGTGGTTGGCTAGACAAGCCTCCCGAGCTCACATTTTCAGCCCTTCAGAAAAATTTAGTATTACGATCTTAATTTCATTGCCATTGTTTAGATGACTACCCATTTAGTAAGCAATTATTAATTGCAGATTTTAGGAGCATATAACTACACCATGAAGGTAATATTCTTTCCCTCCTGAAGTTTAGATTCCTGTTGATTGAATATCGCTGAAAAATAGGATGTTACAGTGCAGAGCATTATCTATCTATCTATCTATCTATCTATCTATCTATCTATCTATCTATCTATC